ATTATATTATATACAGATTATATAATATTTGTCATATATGTCATATATGATATATGATATATGATATATATAAAATATATAATATATGATCTATATGTTACAATAGATGTCATATATTATATATAATCTATATATTATGTGACATATATAATCATATATAATGTGCATATTTATGTGTGATTATACATGTGATTATAATGATTTACTCAGTGACTGAGTAAAGGCAATCTTTAGACACACGACTAGATGAGCCTACCATCCCTTCATTCCGGTTGGCCCTCACCAGCCACAGCACTCATTCCTCTTCACTTGGGGAGGAGCAAATGAAAGCTAGAGGGGCCAGATGTTTTCAGACTAAACTGCACAGGAGAGACACAGAGCAAGAGTGTTCCCTTCTCTACTGCCCCTTCAGAATATCGACCGTTATATGGTGCATCAGAGTTAAATTAGGACGTCTTCTTGATTATTCTTTCCGAGCGAACATACAAATGGACTTGATATTCACAGTGGCCACAGCCCTAAAGAAAAACATTCCTAATTTGTGAACATGGTTCTTCTCATATTTTCCCCACAATATGCATAGGGGCCAAGGACAGAAAGCAGCTGAGATGAGGATGATTGGTGGTTAATGAGGCTCATTCACAAGAAAACCGTTGTCTTAAAACGTGAAAACATCTTAGAATAACTATAAATCACTCCTATATCAGACATCTCCACAGCCTCTCAAAAAATATAAATGCCTAAATGTTAAACTGTGAAAAGTGAGTGGTCTGTTTAACTTCAGAACATGTACACTTGCAATATTGTACCCAGATGTATATTCTTTAATAAAATTAATTTTAGATATAAAAAATTCAATTTAAGTGAATATGAAAACATTTTATCAGCCTGACTCTCTTAATTTATAGACTTATTATAGAAAACAATGGTGTTTTATGTTGTTAGACCTAATCACATTATTTTAAACTGGATATACATCTTCATATAATAGTTACTAAATTTTTTTTTTTGATAGTAGGGTTATTGTTCATTCATATATTTTATTTAACTTAGTTTTCTAAAACATTTACATCTTTGCATTTTTTACTAAGGAAATTGAAAGCAACAAGCTAAATATTTCACAATTATTTGTATGAGACAACTTTTTTTTTTTAAGATAGAGTCTCACTCCGTCGCCCACGCTGGAGTACAGGGGCAGGATCTTGGGCTCACTGCAGCCTCTGCCTCCTGGGTTCAAGCAATTCTCCCACCTCAGCCTCCTGAGTAGCTGGGACCACAGGTGCGTGCTTGGCCAACTTAAAAAACAAATCTTTTGTAGAGATGGTGTTTTGTTATGTTGCCCAATGCTGGTCTCAAACTCCTGGGCTCAGGCAATTCTCCCACCTTGGCCTCGTAAAGTGCCGGGATTACAGACATGAGCCACCACAATCATGTAAGCCAACATGTATCCTAAAATGTTGTGATGAAAATCAAATATTATGAGAAAAGATTAAAAGGTTGTAAGGCTAACACCTGTATTTTAACCTGTATTTTCTCATAAGTATTTTTATCCCTGGTATATGTTACATCTCAGAAATATGAAAAAGGCAAAAAAAAAATAGTATAAATTCTGCTCACATCATTGATATATTAGTTATTATGTAACAAAGAATTGTTCTGCTCTTTATCCCTGATATCCAGGAGGTAAACTCTAAGCCCTTGGTATTTCCCAGGTGGCAGGAGTGCCTTTGTGGTCCATGGAGGAGCTTCTCACACCACACTGTTTGTGGTCATTGTGATGATGATTATGATTATGGTAACTCAGGAAGGGGGCTGGGCAAGCTGGAAAGACCAGTAATAGGATTAGAGGGTCGAGGCATTGAGCCATGTGATATCAGCGCAACCTCCCAATCTCTGGGCAGGGAAGGGAGCTGGAGGTTAAGTTCAACCCTGTAGCCAATAATTCAATCAACCTTGTCTGTGTCAGCAAAACCCTGTAAACACTCTGGCACCAAAGCTCGGGTGATGATGCACTTTGAAGCGCTGGAAGTCCTGAGGACATAGAGGCTTCCTGTTTGGGACCTTCCCAGATGTCACCCTATGAGTCTCTTCATCTGGCCAGTCCTGGTTTGTGTCCTTTGTAATACAATCTTAATCATATGTATAAGTCCATTGCTTTCTCAAGTTCTGCGAGGTACTCTAGCGAACTATCGAGAACTGAAGGGACCATGGACCCCCTAAATTGGTAGCCAGTCGGTGAGAGTGCAGGTGTCCTAGGTGACCCCAGGGCTTGCAGCTGATGTCAGAGGGGAGTCCTGTGGAGAAGCATGAAGTGCACGAACTCCGTGCTAACTCCAGGAAATTAGTGTCAGAATTGCATTGCAGTGGTGTTTATTTCAAACATATTTTTTCAAATTTTCTCCTGGCCAACTCCAAAAACTGAAGTTAATAAGAAGGAGATTGTTGTTATTTTTCATGCACACAGAGGCAATGTGGTCACTTCTTTTTTCCATTAGTAAGGCATTTCCCTGCTAACTGGCTAATCCAACATGCAGCTGTTTTAATTTTGCCATCTCCTGCTTTCTGCTGGTAATGCTTGCATTTGTGTGTAAAATGTGTTCTGTCACAGATTCATGACTGAGAACATTAGGTGAAAAACTTAATTCAATATTAAATACTCTCTTTTGAAAAATTAGCCTATTTCTAATATTAATTAGGATATATGAAAATATTACACATCTGAAGCTAAGCTCACTTGTGATAGTTACTCAAGGGAAGGCTTAATATGAGGTTGCTGTACAACAGTTGATAAATCCAAATATATATGAATGATAAGATTTGATCCTCAGATTAAAAGTGGCAAAACGCACACGTTGGAAGCAGATTTTAGCAATTGAATTCATAGACTGTGCGGTAGGTGCTAGGAATTGTGGGTGACACTCAGAGATTAATATAGATTCTGAAGAAACTTAAATCTCTAGAAAATAAAAGAATACTTTACTTAAAAATGACCAACCCAATTCGATATTTGAGTGTAGAATACAGAAATGGACACAGACTGCGTGGCTCCTGTGACCTGAAGGATTATCCTCTCTCTCTTTCACTGATTTGTCTAGCTATATTTTACTCATCTGTTAAAATATTTTAATTTTTGCCAGGTAGTTTTTTTTTCTCTTAAATCTTAAAAAAAGTGTGACTTTGTTTCCCTCCTATAACACCCATCACCTGCCTGTAATGCTGTCTATTTACCAAATATTATTTATATAATTACATTAAATGTTGGCATCTGTGTAGATTTTAACTTGTGTTGCTGTTGATGCTTTTTAATGACAGAGGTCTTATCTTTTATTCCTAACAACAAACACAGTGCCTGGTATCTAGCAGGTACTTTAAGAGATCACATGCTAAGCTAAACTATTGCAAGAGCTATGTGCTCAGGGGAAGAAAGAGGGGCTTCCTAGTGAAGATGGGTCTTGAGTTCTAGCTTTTAAGGACAGTAATGGGCTATTTGAAATAAAAGTTCCTAAAAGTATAAATAGTACACAGACAGACAAACATGGATTGTGAGTGACAAATAACAATAAGATGGTAGGTTGGCATTTTATTGCCCAACATCTTAAATGACCATGCCCAAATAAAACTATGGTTTTATTTGCTGAGAACCAGAGATAAGATCTTTGAACCATTTGAAGTGATAAAATCAAAGTTGTATTAGACATTGTGAATGGCCTGTACACTATCTATTTTCTTTATTTTTTTAACCTGTTGAGTAAAAGTAGAATGGAAATGTTTAGGGAAGAAATATTTAAGAAAGTTAAGAAAAATATATACATATATATTCCAGCCTCCCTTTGCAGTAGAGATAAACAACAGACAGAATTCAGACCAATGGGATAGAAGGAGTCAGCTGCTGCAAGCAAGAAGGCACTCATGGAAAATATTACTTTTTCTGTGTCATCTTGGACAATTCTCTAGTACCTAATCTTTGTTCTTCATTGGTAAAAGAGAGATAATAATCCCTTAGAACTTAGTTGGTGCTGTCATATTGGCTAGTTTTTGTAATTTTAGTAGAGACGGGGTTTTGCCATGTTGGCCAGGCTGGTCGCGAACTCCTGACCTCAGGGGATCCGCCCGCCTCAGCCTCCCAAAGTGCTGGGATTACAGGCGTGAGCCACCGCGCCTGACGCTATTCAAGATAAAATTAAGCATTCATGTTAACACACATTCATAATGGGGCAAAGTAAAGGCTCAGGAACTGTGGGCGACTGTGAGGACAGTGGTGACCAGGGTCAGTAATGACCAGGGTGATAATGGCAATATTGATCATCATCACTTCTCTTCCATTCATGGAGTCTGAGTCCTAATGCTATTACACAAAGTGAAAGAGGGAGGTGTCATGCATCTGGAGGCAGGATATACTGTTAAACAAAAGCAAAATTGAGATCCGAATGACGCACCAGGGCAACGGGAAGAGGAGACTGACTTACAGGGCATTTGGAAAGCAGAATCTTCAAGGCGGGCGCATTCATGAGAGTCGGAGGTGTAAGGAAGAGTAAGAGAGGGTGGACTTGTCGTGGACTACAACTTCATCTCTGGCTACATATGAGTAGAGTAGAATCTCAGGACTAGCTGAGCCCACATGCTCTGTGTAATAGTCCCAGACTGCCTAATGTCAGGCTGTGCATTTGAAGAGGTGAGAAGTGTTTCCTAACCTCTGCCTCTTCGCTGCCTCACATTATTATTCCTGGCTTCTGCTGCCAGCCTGAGAACCTGCCACACGTCAAAGCTGTGCTGCCTGACGCTTTTGGATGGATCTCCTGCTCGTGGAGAACGCAGCCTTCTTTTTTCTCACCTGTTTCTGGATGGTCTTACTCTAAGACTTTCAGCACTAGAGCAACCCTTATGGAGACAGAAGAGATGTGTAGAAAATGTCTACGTGGAGTGTTCGTTGTTATTTAGGTTGCTTTCTTGGTGTTTGCAGATTTTGAGTCACAAAGGTGAGGAAATTGATTCCATCTTACCTGAGAAGCTTCCCAGTCTGGGTGCGGTCACGTCCCCACCGTCGTGGATCTCAAGGGAGTCCCAGTTTTGTTCCGTGGCAAAACTGATCACTTGGATCTACCAAACCATAACATTAAGTTAATATTGATTTTTGGCTGAACATAATTAGTCTAATTAGATAGGGTATTGGGGTTTTTCATGATTAAGGTGTATATATAGGTATATACCTGTACCTGTATATATACTTATACCATATATACCTTAATCATGCCTCCAATACCATAATATTATATATATATAAAATATATATATATACACACACACACACACCTTAATCATGAAAATCCATCTATCTATCTATCTGGCAAAATTTAAAAAACAAACCATGAAAGAACAATTTATTTTTCTTTTCTTTTTTTTTTTTTTTTTGAGATGTAGTCTTGCTGTGTCACTCAGGCTTGAGTGCAATGGCATGATCTTGGCTCACTGCAACCTCCGCCTCCTGAGTTCAAGCAATTCCCCTGCCTCAGCCTCCCTAGTAGCTGGGATTATAGGTGTATACCACCGTGCCTGGCTAATTTTTGTATTTTTAGTAAAGATAGGGTTTCACCATGTTGGCCAGGCTAGTCTCGAACTCCTGATCTCAAGTGATCTGACTGTCTTGGCCTCCCAAAATGTGGGGATTACAGGCATGAGCCACCGTACCTGGCCAAGAGAACAATTTCTACAAATGGTACTTTTGATAGTTTTTATTCTAAAAAATTTAAATTTTATTCTAAAAAATTATATTTATTCAAAATATAGAAACACGATTAGAAATATTTTGTAGAAATACTAAGAGAAGGGAAACAGAGTATAGTCTATATATTTAAAATAACCAATATAAAAGGAAAAAAAGAAAGAGAGAGATGGAAAGAAAGAAAGAACAAAAGAACGAAAGAAAGCAGCCCACAGACCCCAGCTGAGCCCTGCTGTAGACCGTGGACTTCAAGGACTCACCTGAATTCCCGAGCCCTCCGTAACTATGATCTTCCATATACAGTTCAAGTTGTTTCCGTAGGGCTCAGGGTAGCCAGGGGACAGAATTGTACCTCTTCGCTGAGTGAAATTACCACTGCATGGTACTAAAAGACAGAATCACATGTCATGAAATAAAGTGCCACGGTACAGTGTTGATTTGGCATGCAGTTTTCTTTCACTGTGTGACCAGACAGTGAGAGAAAATGTACGTGAACAATGATACGTTAAATGGCATTTTGAGCCAAGGTAAAATTTAGTGTTTTCTCTTTTAAATTAGCAATATAATTGATTATTACCTGTTATGCTACTGAGTTATAGATCTTGAGTCTATAAAAAAATCTATCCAAGTTCTCTAAGACGGGACGGTGTCTAATGATGGCATCTCCAAAGTGAATTCTGTTTAGAATAATTTACCTACTATAATTTAAGGACCTTGGCAGAGTCTTCTCTTCTCCATGCAGACACGCATCTCCAAATGATATTAATGGGATTTATGAGCAAAGTCAAGAGAAGAGGCGCTTAAAATGTACAAATGATTCAAGTGCTAATCATGATTGTACTAGGGTTTTCCACACAAAATGAAGCAGGTAAACTACAACAAGGTCATTGTTATTCAGCCTGCATTTTATCTATTACTTTTCAAACATTCATCAGCACCAATTTATTAAAAGGACGTTACACAAGTAACATAGCAAATCAACATGATAATGATTTTTTCCCAAAACGAAATTATGTTCTATACTCATGACTTTAGAGTTGATGGCCTACTTCATAAATATGGAGAAGGGAAACATGCTTTATCCTTACTAAGATGAAGAGTTGTTTTATGAAACACAGTAATTTTTAGGGTTTGGCTACTAACTCAATTATTTCCCATGAAACAAATTGCCCTTTAAATGGGTCATGAGCCAGATGGATTTACGTAGCCTGGATAGAAGAACGAGAAGCAACTCTTTGGCATCACCACACAGTTCTGGTGGGCAGTCCTGTGCCCGTAATTCCCGCTTAGGGACACCGCTTACCCACACAGCTGGGGATCGTGTCGTTCCACTGCGCCAAGGCATTGGGCACGGACTGGCAGTGGAGCGCCGTGGAACCCTGAAGCAGGTATCCCGGGTTGCACTCGAATCGGACGATGGAGCCTGCCGAAAACTCAGAACCAATTCTCCTTCCATATCTGGGCTCGGGGACAGAGCTGCACTGGGTGTCGCTGGTACGAGGAACAGCTAGAAGCAAAGCACAGAACACAGCCATCTGTATCTCCATCAGCAAGCCAGGATGTTGTGTGGGAAGTGGGTTTAAGATGGGGCCAAGGAGAGCTGATGCAGACAGAGAATTTAATAACACCTCCAACAATCGCTATATAGAGAGCGATTTGAAGAGCTGGGACCACGCAGAGCTGGTGCAGATAGAGAAGTTAATAAAGCCTCCAACAATCGCTATAGAGAATGATCTGAAGGTCTGGGACCACGCAGAGCTGGTGCAGATAGAGAAGTTAATAAAGCCTCCAACAATCGCTATAGAGAATGATTTCAGGAACTGGGACCACGCAGAGCTGGCGCAGATAGAGAAGTTAATAAAGCCTCCAACAATCGCTATAGAGAATGATTTGAGGAGCACGTTCCCAACTGCACTTCGTCCTCAGGACCATCTCAGTGTCCTCACTTCAGATGAGGAAAACAGCATAAAAAGACTCAGTGCCTTATGAGGACTGATTGATATTCAGGCGGTTACATTTAATCATCCTGCTGGTGATAGTGAGGTGACTAACAAGGTGTACTTGTCCTCACAGGCCTCACAGTCTAATAAGAAAATCTACCACATGAATGATTTCTTATAATAAGGCCATTGTGATGCAATAAAAATATTAAGATAAACTACCATCAGATCCAGCAATCTCACTTGTGTATACTTATCTAAAGGAATTTAAATTGGGATCCCAAAGAATTATCGGTACTCTCACATTCATTGTAGCATTCTTCAAAATAGTCTAAATGTGCAAACAACTTAAATGTCTATCATCAGATGAACAGATAAAGAAACCGTGGAGCAGATACTCAATGGAATACCATACAGCCTTGAAAAAGAAGAAAATTCTGCTATCTGTAATAACACGGATGAACCTTGAGGACATCACGCTAACCGAAATAAGCAAATAAGCAGTCTCAGAAGGACAAACACCTTATGATTTTACTTCTGTGGGGAGATCTAAAGTAGTGGCACTCACAGAACCAGAGAGATTTACACTGGTAGTTACTGAGGGCTGGGGAACAGGAAAACGGGAAGCTACTTTTGAGTGGGTATAAAGTTTCAGTTATGTAAAATGAGTAGGTCCAGGAGATCTGCTCTACAAGCACTGTGTTTACAGTTAAGAGGGTAGATTTCCTAATGAGAACACCTGTTCCACATGCAATTGTGTTGCCTTTAGTCCTCCCTAAAGTCACCTAGGATGAGCCCAAATCTTAACAGGCCCCGGCTGGGTACGGTGGCTCACGCCTGTAATCCCAGCACTTTGGGAGGCCGAGAAGGGTGGATCACTTGAGGTCGGGAGTTTGAGACCAGCCTGGCCAACATGGTGAAACCCCGTCTCTACTAAAAAATACAAAAATTAGCCAGGTGTGGTGGCACATGTCTGTAATCCCAGCTACTCGGGAGTCTGAGGCAGGAGAATCGCTTGAACCTGGGAGGCATAAGTTGCAGTGAACCAAGATTGCGCCACTGCACTCCAGCCTGGGCGACAGATTGAGACTCTGTCTCCAAAAAAATAAATAAAATAAAAAATGAAAAAATAGCAAGTCCCTCCGGTTCTCTCTTGATGAGACTTTCCTAGGTTCTGCATAATGGGTGGCCTTCGTTGTTGCAGCAAGCGAAAACCCAAGTATATGGAATGACGCGTGTGTATCTCAGGTCTTCTTTGGGTAGTAGGTACTGACAGGTGAGTATCAGTGCAATGTGGGGGGTGAGATAACTATTCAGGTTGTATGGCAGAAACTGCCACCTACAGGAGATATTCCTATTTATCAAAAGGAGTGTGGGATAAAGATTAAAAAATTCTTCAATTGGCAAAGAGGTCCGTCACACCAGGCAAACTCTGAAAATAGTTATGCACTTTGAAATTTGCGTATTTTGCTTTTGTCCTCTGCAATGAAAAAGACAGTATTCAGGTACTGTCTCTGGGATTCTATCCTCCTCAGTTCTTGTGTGTCTTCACCCTAAATGTACAGTCCTTTATCAGAATGTGCTCACGTACTCATTTTCTCTTAAAATAACCCTTCTATCTTCCCACAGCTTTTTCTAACACACTAGAATCTGTTTTATTTATTTATTTTCTGTTGAATTAGAACAACAACCGACATGATTTGGGTAACTGCTGCTGGGGAAGCAGTTCCATGAAAATGAAAATTGGCAGATTATTTTGATTAAATGACGTTTCAATTTGGTGTTGAGATATTTTCTATAAAAAGGAAAAATTAATAAAAGTGTCTACCTTTCTAACAGCACTGATGTGGAAAATAATTTATGGTTTATCAGAATCATTCTTCTCCAAGCTAAAAATGAAATACAGAGTAACTATAATATTCTATTACAGGTTGAGTATCGTTTATCTGAAATGTTTGGTGTTTCAGGTTTTGAATTCTTATAGATTTTGGAATATTTGCATAAACATAATAAGATATCTTAGGGATGGGACCCAAGTCTAAACATGAAATTCATTTATGTCTAATACATGCCATATACACATAGCCTGATACACCTTCTACACATGCTTTATCCTTGTTAAGATGATGACTTGGTTTATGAAACACAGTAATTGTTAGGGTTTGGCTAATACTCAATTGTTTGCCACAAAACAAGTTGCTCTTTAAATGGGTCACGAGTCAGATGGATTTATGTAGCCTGAGAAGCGCAAGAAGCAGCTCTTTGGCACCATGGAGAAGCTCTGGTGGGCAGCCATTTTATACAATATTTTATATTTTAAATACAAATACAATATTTTTAATTATTTTGTGCATGAGACAGTGTTGACAGCATTTTCTATTGCGATTCGTCCATTACATGAGGTCAGGTGTGAAATTTTTCCTTTGTGGAGTCATGTTGGTGCTCAAAACATATCAGATTTTGGAGCATTTAGGATTTTGGATAGTCGGATTAGGGATTCTCAATTCATATAACAAAATAGTTCTTGAAATTATTTTTGTCATGCCTGAGTATTTTGTTAGAGTTGAATAATGGTATGAAGAAAAAAAAAAAAAAGATATCCCATAGAGGCTTCCACAATCATCTCAAAGATCTTTCACAAAATGAAGAACTATTGCCAGTGGTGGTTTTTCTACTTATGCTGGATTGCTTACAAAATACCCGCTATCGTGGCAAAGGTTCCACTTATCTAAGAGGCTTCAGGTATTGCATCACTTACTTGTATATTTGAGAGCTATGCAAACATATTTTTATCTTTGAGAGATACAGGGTATCACTGTCATTCCAAGTTCCCAAAATGAGGAGAAATACAGCACCAAGGGCCATGTGTACCCAGGTCACTTTCTTCATGAATTTGATAGTGGTCTATTTTCAAGGAAAATGACAATAAATGAAGAACACCTGCATCTGGATAAATTACGAAGAAAGATTTTTAGAGGAAGAAGTTTAGAAAGTGAAGAGACCAATTTTAAGTATTTGAGACAGTAGGACAGGGAGAAGCTGTGGAATGGAGACATCACAGCTCCACGGAATGTCTGGGAAGCGGGTGGGTGGAAATCAGACCGTGCTCTGTGACTTCCTCCTCCCTGCCAGTCCTCTGGCTCTGGCCCTTCGTCTGGACATTTCAGACAGCATCCGAGAGAAATTCTATTGTCTGTCATCATCATTCTCTATCTTTTAGTAAATATTTCACACTGCCGTGAAGCCAAATTGAAATCAGCCCAGTGGAAAAGTGAGCGGGAATGAGGTCAGCCTGGAATAGAGGGTGATCAACAAAATGATTGACTTCTCAGGTCAGACAACCATGTTTCTTCGGAGGCAGGATGTCCTCCTCCGGGGCTCTGAGGTGCTCGAAGTGGGAAGCAGTGCGAATGTGTGCACACCTGTCGGGAAAAGCCGGAAACGTATTGTGACAAGTTTCATGATCACCCTTCAACACCGCAAATGCTCTAAGCTACAGCTACATGCTGCTCCTTTACCGCACCTCTGTTACAGTCGATGTGAAAACCACAACAACAATAATAAAATAAATCCGAATGCATGGAGGACTCACTGGCAACACCTCAGTGGAGCAGTTTTGATTTAGTGACTGAGGGACATTTTCTATCTCAAAATCATTTCTCTCTCATGGTTGAAAAATCAGGTTGGACAAGCCATTACTAGTCAATGAATTAAAATATATATCACTGGATCGCAAGCAAAATTTTACATTTATTCTTCTTTGCAAAGAATATGCATTTTATAAGCTCTTGATACAAATGTGAGGTTTTAGATGTGGAAAACCAACTAAGCCACATAATTCATGCCATCTAAAAAGAAGAAGAAACCAAGGGAAAATCAATCAAAACATGTATTTGCCTGTCCAGAAATAACCTCAAGTAAAGAAACACTTAATGTACATCTTTCCTACCCAAATTGAGAAAAAAATATTTCTGCGTTTATACCTCTGTTTACTTTCAGGAGACCATTCGATTAACTATTTTATTTTATTTTATTTTTGAGGTGGAGTCTTGTTCTGTCACCTAGGCTGGAGTACAGTGGTGTGATCTAGGCTCGCTGTAATCTCCGCCTCCCAGGTTCAAGCAGTTCTCCTGCCTCAGTCTCCCAAGAAGCTGAGATTACAGGCACATGCCACCACACTTGGCTAATTTTTTTTTTTTGTACTTTTAGTAGAGATGGGGTTTCACCATGTGGATCAGGCTGGTCTTGAACTCCTGAGCTCAGACAATCTGCCTGCCTTGGCCTCCTAAAGTGCTAGGATTACAGGCATGAGTCACCGTGCCTGGCGTAATTAACTATATTCCCATGAATGCTAAAGAGACCAAGTCTTTCCAGCAGAAGACCCTGGAAGAAGAAAGCCTTGAGCTCCTGAGCCTCGGATGCAGGTGCTGCTTCAGGTAAGGAGCCTGGGAGAGGAGAACCCAGGTAGAGATGGTGACCTGGAAAACATGACTTGGAAAGAAAAAGTCCCGGCCAATGGACATTTATAAGCTGGGCACTGTGGAGGAGGTTCAATATAGAAATATGGTTTCCTTTTCCCTTTAAAATGTACAGCAAATCCTTGCAGTTTACTCATTTTGGTGTGAGTGTGTTATTTGGAAGGAACTGAAGGCAGCATTGAATTCTACATTGAAACAAATTACAGGAATAGGCTCTGTATGAAAACAGACAGGCATAAATATAAGACCATTGAAAAAAGTAGCGTTGATGAGGGACTCTCCCACATGAAGGTTTATTGAGACACAATCAATCATGCACATCAGAGGGATGGGGGAGAAGACAGGGCAGGGTGGGCAGCTGTGACCAGCCTGCCTTAAATCCTCAGGAGCCTCGGAGCAGGCAGCAAAGAGAAGGATGTGGGCTCTGCCTCCCTTGGCCTCTTTTCAGGCGGATTGATTCTAATGTTGAAAGACATGGATTACGGGCCAAAGCAAAGTCTCTAAATGCGATGTAATTACTTAATGGTATAGAATCAATGGCCTCTTCTAATCCTGGAAGAAGCAGACTGTGCTGGAGTTACTAAGAAATGGTTTGTGTGATGTTCTGCTTTTGCATTTTGCTAAGAATATGTTGATTTTAGGTGTGATATATTTCCTGTGAAATGGCAAAGATCCCTAAACCTGTATAACCACAGCCAATCATGCAGGTTCTTCCAGTCCCTGCTTGATGGTACAAGGCCAGGGAACTTAGAGGATACAGGGGAGGCTACAAGAGTCTCCTCCACTGTGAACACTCAGGGAATTCCCGGGAGCTCAGAAACTGGTATAAAACACTTTCTGCTTGATGCCAAAAAGCAAATGTACAAAGCTGAACATGTTCAGCATTTAAAAGCAAGAATTGTGTATCTCCCACGTCTTCAAGAAAGCTTGCTAATGCCAGGAAAAAAATGTAACCATGGTTCAGACTTGGAATATTAAAACTATCAGAGGTGTTTGATCCAGAGAGACCCCATCTTCAATAGGGGCTGTGTAAAATGAGACTGAGACCTACTGGGCTAAATTCACAGGAGGTCAAGCATTCTAAGTCACAGGATGAGATAAGAGGTCGGCACAAGCTACAGGTCACAAAGATCTTGCTGATAAAAAGATGTAGTAAAGAAGCTGGCTAAAATCCTCCAAAACCAAGATGGCTTCTAAAGTGGCCTCTGGTCATCCCCACTGCTCATTATACATTAATTAAAAAGCATTAGCATGCTAAAAAAAACACTCCCACCGGCACCATGACAGTTTACAAATGCCATGGCAATGCCAGGAAGTGACTCTAAAGGGCCTAAAAAGGGGAGAGACCCTAGTTAAAGGAATTGTCTACCCCTTTCCCAGAAAACTCACAAATAATCCACCACTCGTTTAGCATATAATCAAGAAATAACAGCAAGTATAAGCAGCTGAGTGGCCCAGGCCACTGCTCTAAGGAGTAGCCATTCTTTATTCCTTAACTTTCCAAATAAACTTGCTTTCACTTTACTCTATGGACTCGCCCCAAATTCTTTCTTGCGCGAGATCCAAGAACCGTCTCTTGGGGTCTGGATCTGGACCCCTTTCTGGTAACAAAACCATTACAGAGACTCTCATACTTCAGGAGGGGAATAATTCGATTTCTTTTCATGCCAGCTACTCACCATAGCTTTTGCTTCTCAATGCTATTTGATTATATCACAGCTGAGGGAGTGGTTACTGATTCAGAGTGGGGTGAAAGGTTGGGAGAGCAGGACACACGCCTGAGCTACAGCTGCAAACAGTGCTCCATTATCACCAAAACCTGTTGGTCATGCAGGTCACTCATCTCAGTCTCCACACCACTGCTTCCGTCACTGGAGATCAGTGGATTGTGAGTGCTTCCTTGCTGGTAGAGTGGATCATGACCAAGCCGGTTTATTCAGCGGCACCAAACTAAAGATAAGAGAAGCTCCTCGCAAGTACTGGCTCACCATGGACACATCCATGCTGAAGGGTTATCCAGTGTTTCATTCTGAAGGGTCACTCACCACAGCCTTCTCTGGGGTGCCCTGTGATCTAACTCACACCTTCTTCTCTCATGCTTTCTCTCAAGCAGTGTGGAAAACAAACAAAAACCCAGCAATTGCATAGGTTCACTAGAATAGTGCATTCAAAAGCCTCTAGACTTCCATTGCTTCACAAGTTCAGAAAGATGGTAACATCATCATTAATTATGTCTTCATATCACTAACCAGGATGACATGGGGGGTGGGGAGCAGAGGGCTAGAGACCATGATCTGTGCATGTCTGGAGTCACACACACGTTTTCTGCACACTGACACTGTTGCAAGCATTTTTCACGGCAGCCCCCAGCAGCTCTTTATAACTGAACTGTGTCTGTTAACAAGGGTTAGGTATCCTACAACCACGGAAATCATAAAGTCCATGTGCAATTTGAGGTTGAATTTGTTTATGAAAGAATGAAGCTGTAGTGGTGTATGAAAGTACTGTTCAGAATATTTTTATATAATAGAGTTCAAATAATTTTTAGGCTTCAGTGTAACTACTGCCTTTCAAGAAGCAATGTTCAATTTAACTTTTCACGTGTACTCAAAACTTTTACCACTGCTGTTGAGTAATTCATAAGTTGCATTTATAATTCTAGTTCTTTACCTCCAGAAAAACTTAGTTTTTGATAAAAAGACATCAATTTTTTTTGCATAAACACACCTAGTAGGAGTAAAGCAAGAGAAGGAGGTATTTAGAAATTTATAAAATATTAAGGATGTTAGAGTCATTATATACTCTTGAGGACAAGAAAAATAAATTTCCTCTATAAATGATGTTCTTTTCTTTCTACTTTTCTGTATCTTTGACATTTTGATGAAAACGTATTACTTTAAGCAAAATTTTTAAAATACATGCCTTCCAAGGACAACATTTGAATATAAGACACCAGGATATTTGCATGCAATATGTTATCTGATGATCTGATAGATTTTATAATCTTTATCGAAAACCAAAGAAAGCCCCTTATAAAGGCAGACAAGGTCAGTCACTTGAGCATCTCCAGGAGAGAAAATGTTCAGGCAGCCCAGTTTCTTTACACATCTCACTTTGGTCTAAACATGATTCTGCTTTTGCAAAGTCAGATAGAATTTATTTGAAAAAATTAGAAGTAGTAAGAGACGGGTTGTTTCAACAGGCCACACTCTAATAAAGTCCGTTTTTTAAAACTACTGGATAATTATTTACATTTTAATAAAAGATGTAACTTATAACTATGTAACTCCTTTTAATGCATTCGCATCTCGATTCATTCAATGGCTACTTACATAGGATCAGAGAGATCTTTGTCTCCTGATGAACTGTTAAGCATCATCCTCATTCTCTTCCCATTACTCTTTAAATTATCTAATTGCTGAAAACTGAAGGGTTTTTACACTGAACTGTTTTGAAGTCATGAAATTCCGAATCTGAGATGATTAGAAATGATTGATAAATAATATAACATTGTTATACTCCATCTTTTTTTTAAAAACATAATAGTATCAATAATGTTTTCTGGAGGAATCTTTATTAAAGGAAACAAACCATTGCTAAGAAAAGATGTTTCTCCAGATCTGAAGAAAATACTTAACAGTGGCCATTAGTATCTGTAGCCTCCAGCAAAATCGAGACCCAGAAAAACTAAGTATTGCTTCTTATTTTTGAACACACAGTTTATCTCTGAGCATGATCATTTCCTCCAGATCTCAACCTTTACAGTCATGACAAGCTCCATCCAAAGACTTACTCCAAGCTTCCGAAAGTATATGAACAGTTTATGTGGTCACTTTTTCAAGTTCATACAATGAATATGCAAAACAAAAGTGAAACATACGCGGAGAAAATTCTTAGCTTTTCAGAATCTTTGAGCAATCTCAAATATTTTTTAAAAGGTTTAAATTAAAAAATAAGTATAAAAGTGTAAAAGTACCCAAAGTAAATAAAACACAAACAAAATAAATAGGTATTTAGTTAGGATAAGAGATGCATGTGTGATATTTTGTTTTTTGTTTTGTTAACTTTCCTTTTAAGCTTAGTTTTTATAATAAAATGTAAAATTGTATAATGCATTTTAAATATATTTCATATATCATTACTAAGATCTAAACTATTACAAAAGACTTAATTAGATAAAATATTGTATTTGAAATCATCTTACAAGATGTGAAGAGCTACAGAAAGGTAATATGATCAATATTTATTCCCTTCTAGTGCCTGATAAATGAGATATTATTGTGTTTTGTAGTAGAAATATGAGTTTCAACTGTCAAAAAATTGTAATATTTTTATTAAATAACTTCATTATGAACATACGAACACCTCCAGCTTCTTAAATATGACACAAATGCCACTGAGATGTTCTGAGTGCTCTGTCTGAGACTGGTGGTGTGTGCAGCGTCAGGAAGGACCACAGTGACATGTGGAGACATGGGGAGTGACCCTCACCTTGATACACGAAGTGGAAGCCCCTGGCAGAGGCACCGCTCTTCGCACTGAATCGGAGCAGAATTTGATTTGACGTAGCCAAGGGCAATGTTTCCCCTAGAAATGAAGACAGAGATAAAACATGGGATTCAGAAAACACACAGCACCGTGGCGGACAGCCGTATTTTGGAAAATGGTGATAAAGCTAAAATTTCACATTTATTCTTTGAACTTTTAAAACATTTTCACTTTGTGGTTTAAAACTCAAATATGTTGTTTTTATAAAGATTTAAAAACTCTGTCCCAGGCAAGAATAGGCAGTGCATTTGATTAAAATATACTGTAATCATTATTTCACTGATGATTTCATTTGAAGAAAGCACCAATGGTAAGTCTATATAATAGAGGGGACAGAAGTAAAGGGTGAATCATTTGCTCAGAATCACCTTAATTTGATTTTAGCTAAAATGAGAAGAATTTTACTTAAAATTTTTTAAAAAGCCACTGAATCCAAAGATGATTTTTTAAAAATTAAAGGATTCAGAAAAGACCTTCTGAAGTATATTTTTAACCTTTAGAAGCACATATAGGCCAGGCGCGGTGGCTCACACCTGTAATCCCAACACTTTGGGAGGCTGAAGCTGGTGGATCACTTGAGGCCAGGAGTTTGAGACCAGCCTGGCCAACATGGGGAAACCACATCTCTACTAAAAATGCAAAAATTAGCCAGCTATGGTGGCACATGCCTGTAATCCCAGTCACTCAGGAGGCTGAGGCAGGAGAATTGCTTGAACCTGGGAGATGGAGGTTGCAGTGAGCCGAGATGGTGCCACTGATCTCTAGCCTGGGCAACAGAGTGAGTGGACTTCGTCTCAAAAAGTAATAATAAAATAAAAATAAAAAATACATAAAAGCACATACAAAATGTGGAAGAGTCTGTCTCAAGCAGTGGTGGGAGGTGTGTGAATTGGCATAAGCTTTTCAGAGGACAATGTGTTACTAATAATCAACATATTTAACATGTATCCTCTAATGCATTCTTAGATACGTCACTGAACCCTAGTAGAAAATAACAAAACAAACGGCCGGGCGCGGTGGCTCAAGCCTGTAATCCCAGCACTTTGGGAGGCCGAGACGGGCAGATCACGAGGTCAGGAGATCGAGACCATCCTGGCTAACACAGTGAAACCCCGTCTCTACTAAAAAATACAAAAAAAACTAGCCAGGCGAGGTGGCGGGCGCCTGTAGTCCCAGCTACTCGGGAGGTTGAGGCAGGAGAATGGCGTAAACCTGGGAGGCGGAGCTTGCAGTGAGCTCAGATCCGGCCACTGCACTCCAGCCTGGGCGACAGAGCGAGACTCCGTCTCCAAAAAAAAAAGAAAATAACAAAACATAGGTCTTAAGACTTTTAGTTAATAATGAAATAGTGAAAACCTGGAAATAACCAAATCTTAACCTTAATTGGTCAAAGCTTGTGAGGCATATAGTTTACTAGGCAAATTAGTGAATGTACTCAGTACCAAACTGATTTTGTAAACGATGAAAACGTATCAGTACAAATAAGGGGTAGGTCATCAATTAAAAGTGGGGTTAAATTGTGCTACGTTAAACCCACAGAATACCATTCAGAACTCAGAGTAAGGACACTGGGTGTATACAGTGTTTGTTACAGACAGATTTCTGTATGTGATTTTAAGGGTAAGAATGGGATAAAAATAAGTTGTGAAATAACTCCATGTTTTATGGGGGTTCCTGTGTGTGTGCGTGCATGTGTGGATAAATGTATGCATGTGTACATGTGAACACGGGTAGATGTGTGGTTATTAATGGGTCTCTCTATGTAGGACTTACAGGCTTAGAATGATTTGGACCGAAATGTTAATCATTTTTATATCCAGAAGGGAGGTTAAGACACATGGGATACAAAATTAAACGTGGATGATAGTTGATTATCCCACCCTCTTTTTCGGATCTTTGCCCCTTTTACTGAGATAAATACTATATTTTCTGCAATCTTAGTAAGATGATAAAAGCAGATGATTTTATGGCTGAGATAAAAACACTTTTGAGAGCTTACATCTAAAATAAGATTTTTCTAAGCACACACGCAGATTCAAAAATGATTACATTTCCCATTCATCAAAACAAAGCAAAAGAAATAGACAAGTTAAAAATCAATCCCCCTAGCTGTCTAAACTAAGGTAAGCACAAAATGCTTTAAGACTTACCTGAGTGAGACCCAGAGAGCGAGCTGAGAAGTCTGGCCTGTGCATGGGTTCCATCGAATAATTCGGCCAAATCATTTAGGGCTGTCTGGAAATAGGCAAACTGTCCAAAGACCACTAAAAAATAAGAGGGGAGATGTTGGCACAAGATGCTCTAAGAAAACAAAATGGAGAGTTTTGATTTCACTGAATATCTATTAATTGCCCCAAAGGATCATTATCCTAAGAATCTGGTAAAAAATAAATATTAACTTATTTTCTCTGCTTTCTAAGTTTTCAGTTGACAAAAACTATTTTACTTTGCTTCTTGACTTTTGGCATTTAATAAAAGAAAAAAATACTGTTTTATTTCAAATTTGAACATTAAATGAAGAATGTTTTTGTTTTAATAAACACAGCATTAAGAATATCTGGGCTGGATGTGGTGGCTCACGCCTGTAATCCCAGTACTTTGGGGGTGGAGGCAGGTGGATCATCTTGAGGTCAGGAGTTCACGACCAGCCTGGTCAACATGGTGAAACCCTGTCTCTATTAAAAATACAAAAATTAGCAAGGCTTGGTGGTGGCTGCCTGTAATCCCAGGTACTCAGGAGGCTGAGGCAGGAGAATCGCTTGAACCTGGAAGGCAGAGGTTGCAATGAGCTGAGATTGTGCCACTGCACTCCAGCCTGGGTGACACAGTGAGACGCTATATCAAAAAAAAAAAAAAAATCTGTAAAGACTTCCCTATATTTTCAAATATTTAGCAACATTTTATTCAATGAAAAATAAGCAAAGGATCAAGCCCCATGATGATTTGATGAGGAATTTAAATTCCTCACAAAAGGTTATTACAATGCCAAATTCATATTAATACATTACCGTATTCATACAAACTGATTTACACATGTGATTCTGTGGCATATAATAGGAATCACTTGCTGTTTTCCACTCTACAATCTCATTTACCTTACAGGCTATGAAAGTTGTGTGAACACACATCCTTCAAGTAAAACATAACTATATACTTTGTGACTTCAAATTTAACTGATACTGTGTATTCAGATTGATGATATAGAGGGCCTTTATATATGTAGGAAAACCTGTGATTTAGTATATATTTACAAGCAATGAACAACTAATCCTTTTCTTATTTATTGTAAGATTTGCACTACAATCATTCTAAACCATTATGAACAAGAAATGGAGGTGTGTGCACTAGTTGTGTGTGTCAGAATTCCAATAGAAAGAATTACTGTTAATATTTGTTAGTATGATGGAAGTAATCTAACTGTAACAGTGTGTGTGCCCATATGTGTATAGACACACATACATACATTTATGTAACTGAATCCATACACACATATCTAATATTGTCTTTGAAGATTTTATAATTTCCCAGAGAAAAACACAAAGAAGTCATATAGACTAGATGAACTTTCCCAATAGATGAAATGCACTAAAAACTTTTTTCAGAAATTAGAGAGGGAGAGGACTTAATACTTTCTCTACAGATCTTGCTCATACCATCCTAATCCACCCACCACCTCCCCAAGTTCATTAGATTTTTAACATATTGGAGGCCAAAAACTTGGGTCACGAAAGTGAATCATCCATAGATAATTTCTACTCCTTTTCAAGAAATATTTTGCTGACATCCACCTCATATTAGAAACTAAGAAAAGAGGAGGGAAGGTGATATTAACATTGTCCCAGGACTATCACACTCTAACATGTTCGGTAATTTCCACGACACATGTGGATTTTGAGTGCAAGATGTCAGGAGCCAGGAGGAATGCCCAGCTCATTCTAGAGATGGCCCTGACATCTTCCTTGAGGCGCCTCCTTCACCTGGGTTCTAACCCATCACTCACAGTCAGCCCTAGTGAGCAAACTCAGTTTCCAAGAGAGAAAAGCTGCTCAGTGCTATCCATACTGCTGCTGGAAATCATGACAATGTGATGAGAAGAACAAACAAAGGGTTATGGGGCTTCAGCCGCGGGAACCGTCAATGCTTCACGGTGGGGATGGCACTATCACTAGTTCTTCAAGAAGGATTCGTGGAAGAATGGAATATAAGAAATTATATCAGCAAATGGAATACAAAAAGCAAAATGGTAGAGGGGACAAATGCAGCAAACAGTCAACTTCAGCTAACACTACCTGGATAAAAAACAAACAGGGGGATTGGAATGCAAAGGTCTGTGGCAAGGACCTCAAAGGCCACCCTGAAACACAAACACTTTGTTCTGTAGGTAATAGGAGTGAGAAAGAATGTTTATCACGATACTAAAATGCTTAGATTTGTGTTTTAGAAAGCATTCTTGGCTATGGTTTTGGATGAGAACAGAGGAAACTGGGTTATCTGAAGACCTGTCTTATTAATAATATTGCTTCCCATTTTCAGCCTGTGTTGACAGACAGGAAACAGCCCCTTCCTACCTGGTAAGGATCACGTCACCCTGTAATGTCTGGATTGCACGTCTGCCTCACCCCCACACCATAAGCCTGCCAGGGGCATGGACCAGATTCGTTTCACCTTTGCATCCATGGACTTACAAATACTGTGAGATTAATTGTGTAGTTAATTAGTTTATTTCATAGGAAGGAGTAACGAATGGGGGAAGAAAGTAAAAGATAGAATGTATTTTCATTAAAGATTCGCTATAACTATGTTATTCCACACTGAGACTTTCTGCCAGATAGGATGTGATGCGTTTGTGTGATTAAACCTTTCAGATCAGGAAATTATAATCAATATTTAGGATATGAGTATGATTTTTTAGCTGAAAAATTTTAATTGTGTAGTGATGACAATAATATTTTGTATTTAACTAAAGTAATAGGATATGGCTGCTAAACTCCATTGTAATAAGTATATTTTGTCACGTATTCATAAAAAAAGACTTTTTTGTGATAATGAGGGAAATACTGCTGAGCATTTAGGTGAGAAAAATGTATTTCGTTCAAATTCAGAATTAAGGTTGAAGTTAAATGAGGGACTTTAAAGAATTTGGGTCAACTTAAAAAGTTGGAATCTAGACCCCGTTTTAGGTATTATTGTCCATTTATCATAACAAAGGGAACAGCAAGGCTCAGGGAGGGTGTGTATTAAATTCGTAAGAAGCCTGGGAATCATAACATAATAGAAGTTTATAAAAATAATGTCTCCCACACACAAGTTTCTTACCCACCAAATAACTTTCTTGCCATATGTTAAAAATGCTTTACCTCAAATACAGTCTAACATTAGAATTTTTATCTGCTTTATATGCTGAGTGAGTGAGTGCTGTCTTAGACATATATAAAAACCTTGACTATGTAGTGTTTTCAATTTTCCTATCAGAAAGAGGGAAATAGTCTTTAAGATGATGATAGCTACTATCTGGTTTACTCCAGAAAAGAATCCGATCCAAGATAAATTGTCCTGGTCAAGAGTGAGAGTGAGCATTACATAAATGAAGTGCAAAGCGACCAGGGAAGGTCCTTCTGGAAATGAAGTCATCTTGGAAAATTCGATCGAATTGGACACAATAGGTAGGAGGGAAATAGAAAGTCAGGGTTCAGCAGGTGAAACAGTCAGGACTGTGCCTGCTTCTCCATCCCTGAGCACTTACAGGTTGACTCAAGGATGCAGTGATTTCGATTATGATCTGGTTACTGAATTTACTGAATGTACGTGCCATTCCTGCACAGACATGCACACAGCGCTCTGACCCACCCTCTACTTTATGAGAAATCCTCCCTCGCTCATAAAAACAACCAATTGAAAGAACGATGTGTGAGAAACCTAAGAAAAAAGCCAAATTAATTCTCTCTAATTATTCTGGATCATAACCCTAGAGGGGACTGTAAGCATTTAATATTACATTGGTAAAAGGATTGTAATGGACATTGTGTGGGATACGTTTGGAAAGCCTGCTACTAAAATGCAACTCATTTGCTTTTATATGAACTATTTCACTAAGCTCTAGAATACCTGTTTATCGAATGACAGAAAAATTAACCCTGAAAGGAAACATGACAATGAATTAAAAATAAAAGGACATCCTTACCGAATTCCTTTGGTACCGTTATGGAATAGAGGCATATTTGACCAGCTGTGTAATTATGGGGGTAGTTTGGTGATAAAACTACTCCTTCTGATCCCATGTACTGGCCTCCGCAGGGAGCTGAAAATAAAACCAACCGAGAATGAGGTGCTGTGCAATAATAATAGTACACGTGATAGGTGAGCCAAAGTTGAAACACATCAAATATGTGAGCACGTTTACTGAAAACTTAACAAAATAATACGTTAAAATCTTGTTTTGCATTGCTATCAATGTAATAGAAAAACAAAGATTTACCAGGTAAGAAGTAATGCAACTTAGGAGAAAAACTTAATACTATTTTCAAGGCCATGTCTCAGATGTATTAAAATAATAAGGGAAACAGCTATAATAATAATAGAACAGGTTCTATAAAGACAAATGATTAAATTATTTTAGAAAGTCTCGCCAGAGTTGTCTGTTCAAAGTCAATCCTCATATTAACTTAAGAGATACAAAGATTATATCAGTTTTCTATCACTTGTATATTAATATGGGACTAAAAGGAAAAATGGTTTGCTTTTTAGGGGGTTTTGTTTGTCTTAATGTTTTATCTTATAGTTTCAGTAAAAAAGCAACATGTATAATTACTAACACTTTTGGGGTCTCTTCCTATGAGCCCAATTTAAAACTAAAGGAATCCATTATTAGAAAGTTAGGGCTTATAAAATATAGAGAGGTGTGCGTGTGGCGGGGCGGGGGCGTATGCGTGTGTGTATGTGTATGTGTGAGTATGTCTTAATTTTTCCCCAGCTCACACCTGTAATCCCAACACTTTGGGAGGCTGAAGCTGGTGGATCACTTGAGGCCAGGAGTTTGAGACCAGCCTGGCCAACATGGGGAAACC